AGTTTAGCACGAGTTAGAGAAAAATCGGTGACTATGACCGCAATTCCGCAAAATTTGACGTGCTTGTACGTAAATTCAAAGAACATCTCGCAGTAGAAACAAACATCGTGATCAGACATCGCTTCGCGTAACCTCAAGTTACGATTCGTTTAACAAGCACTCCGTGACATTCGCCGCGCAAATGAAGGGCGAACGGTTACAGAATAAAGAGCTCACGAGACGCAAAAACGGATCCATGAATGGAAAACTTTTAATATACCAAACAGAGGGTCGTAAAATAATAAATTCGTGGCGATTACGAAACGCCGGTACATCATTAAATTCGCGATTTCACGAAAGGAAAAACACGCGGTTAATGCTTGTAGCTTCTGTTTGATAAATATTATACGTACTCATTCTTACGATTGCTCTTCTATCGTATCCTCTTGATTCTCGTTAAAATAACCATCGAAAACAAAGAAATTTACGCGAAATTTACCACGTCAAAACATGACATAACAACTCTCTACTGGCATCCCGTCGCTCAAAGGAACAAACAAACGCAACCAAGAGGACGAAGCGTGCACGTGTTGGTCAAACGAACCTGAGAAAAGTAAACAGTAGCCGATCGGCTCACAGATTTTTTGTTTCGCACACGTGCATACACGCAGCTGCCTGAAGGACGCGATGAAAAAGTAGCACGCAGGCCGGATCGAATTTCGCTAACGGCCATCGTTCCCAATTTCTGCTGCCATTAAAGTAAGCACCATTTGAATTCACCCAATGAAGTTCAAAATATTAGAATTTCAAGTTCAACCAATGAAATTCGAAATATTGAAAATTTAAATTCAGCCAAGTCGCGTCAATCCAGGGAGAAGAAATATGTATCGAGAACGAAATGAGATCGATATTGTTCGTCCGCTGCAGGGCACTATCAAGACGAAGTGTGTCGAAGGACCTTCAGCTTTGATCTACGATAAGCTTGTACACGGCGAACGGGGAAAATATCTGTGCAGGATGGTGAAATAGAAATACGAGATCGAACCTACGTTTTGTGCACAACCGAAAGAACGAGAGGGAGAAAGACACACATACATATGCGCGCGCGTGTTAATTGCATTCAATACAACTATTACGGTCACTGTCGGTCGGGTTGACATGGTTGTCTCGTACAACTATAATTTATCGTTGATCGATGCAATTCCCTTCTCTGCTGCATCGACCTCCATACATATGAACAGCTATTATTGTTCGAGGATGCAGGTACTTTGCGGCTTTTATCCTCGAATTTCGAGATACTCTCCGTTGAAAACGAACCGTGTGTTTTCATGAAAATTCCAGTTCGTTTCTGTACAAATGGTGATCTTCTTCAAACGGAAAGTAGCAAAATAGGAAATTCGTGGAACGTATGTACATATGTGCGGTTACAACGTTCCTTGAACAGATATAGAACACCTGCATACAGGACATCTTAACGATCCAATCGATAATGTTGGCCTGTGTTTGTAAATTCCCGCGCGCCTGAGAGGGAACGCATGCCTACGTGACCGAAAGCAGAGAGAGACGCGGGCCGTATAACGAGCGATCGCAGTGTGCAAACCACGGAAAACAAGAAGCAAAGGATCGTCCTTCGCCATTTTGAGGCTCCACGAATGCTACTCCCTGCTATGAGATTAGTCACCGGCGGAACGATGCGAATCGAGCGTAAAATCGTGTGAATTTTAAAGGAATACGGCGGAATGTCGATTAACTGGAATTTGAATTTTTATGATCGCACGGTTGTCCGGAATTTTACTTGAAAAAGCAGTTTAATACGCGGTGCACGTATAACGCTTGTGAAATAGAGTAAATAACGTTTAATCAACGTGGTTTAACTAGGTTAAAATAGGACTTATCAGATATTCGAAGAAATCGAACTGATTTTTTCGATTGATCGAGAGTATCGATGAAACAAAAAAAACCCTAACTATTGATTTTTGAAAATGATAATAGAATTGATTTTAAATCTAGCAAGGTTAATTAAGAGAGTTGTGCACAAGTAGAGATTTACAATTAAGAATTCTTCGTAAAGTTTTTTTTATCTTTGAATAAATTAAGATCATACGGAATCGAATACATTTGCGAAGAGTTAATTGACACTGCTCAATCAAGGAGTAACACTTTGTTTAAACTTATCACATCGTTGGCAAATATGTCGTTGAATAAACATAAAATGTTAATTTATTTTTGATAAGTTCTCGGGTTTAACCTTGTCAAAATTTTAACGTCTGTAGGAAATGTTCCATATATGCACGTGTAATACAAAAAAAAAACTAGGTATTAGAATGAGATCAAAATTACGAAAAGTTAATTTATTATTGAATTATATTCATCTCCTTGCTTTTGTAAATAAGTATGACTGTAATCATCTGTTCTCATTAACTTGGATAATCGAGATCTCTATTACGCACGAATTTTATTTTGCAACTTGTTGGATAAGGCGTGAAGGCAACAGTGACTCTAAAAAAAAAACATCCGGCTTGGGGAAATTACCTCGGCTACTTAATAAACTCTATCATTTGCGATGTGTATGGTATCACCGAAATTGTAGAATACGTAATATACACCCACCCATGACATTCTCGAACAAACATGTGTGCGTTACTTTCCATGACGCGGTGCTTTATTCAGATTGCGTCAATTAACGTGATCATCCGTGACAGGAAACCGAAGGTGTCGTTGGCACAGCGGTCGTCGCCGTATCTAACACATCAACGACCAATGAAGAGTATTGTCTTATCTGCACATACCCTTGACAAATGCGTGGAGTTATTGCTCCTTCGAATCACCGATAATCAAGCCACAATGTCACACGGTGTTTTGTATTTGTACAATTCGCGCGTCTCATTATCTTGAAAATTGGACTTACGAGTCCCACGAACTCGAACTCAATGTCACGACGCCATTATTCCACGAGATTTAAAAAAATCGATGATTTCATCGTGTGTCTGGCGGTTAGTGACGCTACACGGTCGATCATTTCAATCCCCTTTCAATTGCTATCGCCTGACTGCACGATAATCTTTCGAGCACGATTTCGAAGAACGGAGGAATCAGTGCAGCGCCATCGAAGGTGGATAAAGAAGGAATAAAAAAGCTAGTTCAATTACCAAGTTAAATTCAAGGAACGCGTTATCGCGCTAGAACACACGACCCAAGCCACGCATACGACTACGCGCTATATAGATGGTGCTCAAATAAATCCGTGCGCATCGATCTGCAGTGTCAATGGCCGATGCAACGGTTCAAGCGGCCAAGATGCGAAACTGTGTTCTATAGCGTGGCCTGAAGAAATTGCCTGGTTGCTGCTGCGAGCGCCGTCAGCGCGCCCCTCGACGGTTTGATGTATAGATCGTGTCTCCAATCTATTCTGGATTTCTCGCAAGTGTTTATGACTGACCGTGCTGACACACTCGTGAAAGTCGCTCGTTACGAACTTCTGAACGAGCGGCTTGGATACGCGTAGACGTCACTTCCCTTGACAATAGAGGCCTCGAATATCAATGTAACACGCTCGATGTATTACCACAAGGTTTCTCTGAAAAACCATGTCCTTCGTCGATATGGTAAAATGTAACAAAAGTCGGGGCGTAAAGTGACTTCTATTTCTCTCTTCCATACAGCGTGAAAAAACGTGTATGTTCTTATTGAATTGCACCATAAATAGTGCTAGCGGCGATTGATCTCGATTCGATTCGATTTGATATTACTCACGCGCAGAATCATCTATTACGCAGATAGTTATAGGTTAGAACCGCCGCGATAAACTGTAATTAACTTGTAATTACTCTTAGATCACGACCGACGGGGCTATTTTCAATTCACTGTGTTGCTCTGCTTGCGGATTCTCGAGCAACATTTTAAATCGCTAACGAATCGATCGATCGGTCGGTTGCGCGTGAACGAATATACAACCGCGATATCTAAGTACGTATTTGACACCACTCTGTTCAATGATAGAGCCGTCGTTTATCTTATCTGTCGCGCAGCCATCAATTTTTTGGCAATGGACGGACTGATACAAGTCAATCATCGAAATGATACAAGTCATATCAGTAGGAGTCTAATTATCAATATCGTAGAGTGGATAAAATAAAAGGCTAACAAGAGTGGGTGGCCAAGAGAAGGGAAGGGAGACGTCAAAATTGAACACCTGTATGGTCACGATAATAAGCGTTGTAGTTTTCCGTATTGCTAAGAAACGTATAAACCCACGTTAATCTTTTCCTCAAATCGATAGATCGTTGTTTATGCAGCTTCAGTAGCAAGATTTTGATACAAATACCATTGGGAAATTTAGCGAGTTAATCTTACAGGAATCGATTAATACAAACAGGATTACCGCACACGAATAAATATTTAATTAAACAAGATCGCTTGTCATCGATTGACACGAGCGTAACAACGACGTTTCATGTTTTCGTTTATCACGTACTCTTGCATAATCCACAAGCCACATATTGCAATAAAAAAATTTCCTAAAATTCGCACACCATGATAATACGTTACTTTGTGGTCGCTTGTTTTGAACGGCCCCACGTGCATAAAAGCTAAACATAGTAACGAAGCTATAATAATATACCCGTGGAACACGAGTCACGCGAACATTGGCTCACCCTACTTAATGAGTGCTCTCGATGCAGGTGTAGTAGACCCATGTAAATATTTTTGGATGGTATTAGACTGAATAATGCCGTCAAGGTCGACAGCGTGGAACGTTCATCTGGCGTTGAAAAAGAATCTAGAATGCAGCGGTGATTCATGTCGTGTGCGAGTGCTTTATAATGCGCTATTATTCATGATCGAAATGACACAAATACATAGAAATAATTAAATATACTTTTCTCACTTAACATTCGACAATTAGAAACTTCGCAATAAATATTACTTATTAGGAAAATTTCACTAAATCTTCTGATAAAGATAGTAAACTCTCGCGAGAACAATATTTTTGAAATATTAGCAATAATGTGAACACTTACCTCTCGTATTTTACTTGCATAGAATGAGCGGAGTTGTCCTCCCAATAATTCTGTGTCTCCATCATCTTGCCACATAGAATCGCTTCCAATACACAACACGATCACTTCCGATTTCCAATCGCTGCCACCGTTAGTTTCTCCTCTACTCGTTTGCCTTTAACTTTTTTATTCGTCCCCTTTTTTATCCGCTCCCGTTTTCACACGACGATCGAAAAAACTTTCTTCGAAATCACGCTCGTAACACGCACGTTAGAGAAGCAACTCGCTGTAATTGAGCGCGAAATTCAACGACAAGCACAGACGTGTTTCCACTGATCGCGAAATTACGCGTGCATAACCAGTATCTCAAAAGAGACAAAGTCCTCTTCAAACCAATGGCTCCTTGATCGATAGTGCGCACCCGACGACTAGGTTAGGTTCGCCTCCACAAACTCACTGACACACTCGTAACGACACGACGGACCAGGAGGCCGGTACTTGGGAATCGCCCACGTCTTTCCGTCCAGTCACACTCACCGATATATCTGTACTGGCGCCCTCTTCTTTTCTTCTTCGTCTTCTTTCCTACTTCCCGATTTCTTTTTTCGGAACCGATGATCGCCGATCGATTTCTCGTCACAGCGACTCCTACAATCGTAACGATCAAAGTTTTAAAGCTGATTTGGTAGCCATCCGCCTCGAGACACGTTTACGCACAAACGAGCGATAACAGGAAGAAAGAGAAAAATATGGTTTGATTCTGATACATAAATGCGAACGACGATAAGGCCGTTGACTCGTTCGACCGCGAAATTCCGCGATATACTAACTGGCAGGGCCGTAGGAATTAAACGGGCGATGTATTTGCTGGCGTGTCAACGTACCAGTTACCTCATGGGGTACATACGCATGCACTTTACGAATTTCACGTGGCAATGCTTGGCGGCGCTCGAGATGTATTCTAAACAGATGATTACGTTATATGCACGATTGAATCCTCAATCAATCGCATGCACCCTCTCTATCGACGCGCTATCTCGTACCGCATTAGCTCGTGATTGGAATTTAAAGAATGACAAAAATAAAAAGAATCTCGTTCAAAGCTCGTATCGCGACGTACACAAACGCGTGTCGTTTCCTTGGCAGGCTACACTACGCGTATAATGCGCGGCCCTGTTCGATTCTCGCGATGGGCCGCGGTGTGGCACGCAGACCACTGGTGGGAGCGATCCAGAACCGTCTCAGGCGCGGCCCATCAATTCTGGAGCCACGCAGCTCAAAGCTCGACACGCTTAATTGATATCTTCATTATTTCTACTCACATAATATAAGTATCGGTAGGTAAGTATATGCAATCGTACTTACAGAGTTACATTGTAATTCTTTTATCGGTCTAATCTTAACGACCTTGTTAAAATACGGTAACCTTTATACAGATAATAAATAAGCAATTATTACCTAGCTTGAGTTTTTGTAATCTGCGATATCTTCGGACGGCAGTAACTGTCGCGAGCTTTGAGAAATGCCCTGATAAGGCAATTTGTTCTTGATACATCACGTGTGGATCGATATAGCGATCTCGAAATAGCTTCAGCGATACGTGCGCGTGTATATTGTACAAAAACAAAAACAAAGAAGGTTAATCTACACCTAACATACATATTCTTCCAATTAATGCGACTTGCTGGCTGATACTCGTACCACGTTTTTTCTCTCGATTAGTTCATCTCTAACTCATATATTCACAATTCAATACGGAAGAGCATTGTTCCTCTTTCGTGTTACAGAATTTCACGAAACTAACGGCGCGTTGATTACTTGGCATCTTACGTACAGGCTTGAATCGTCGTAACTCGGTGAAGATAATAATTAAGCGACAAGTTGAAGAATACCGTTGTGTGTTGCATTAACATGTATATGCCACCGCACGTTGCGATGTGGACATAAATAAACACGTGTACATGATACTCGCATACCGAACGTACATACATATATATACACACACGGAGCCACAGTATATCTTTCAGCGGTATCAGAAATTCAAGGACCAAAATTTCGCGGCGCAGACAGTGAAAACAAATTACCTTACAACGAACGACCGAGCAGCAGATAAGATCCCTCCGTGTTTCTCGAAATCACCACGGAACTCAGAATGTATATACCAAGCGTATATGATGTTAGCGTTTGCCCGGTATACCACCCGTGCCACCAAGCCGACTAAAATTTCTCGAGTGCACACGCTTTCACCCTTCCATTTCGCTGGAATCTCGTCGATACGATTCGACGATGCTCGCCGAGGAGAAACCAGCTATTTTTTTTCCTACCTCCCTCAACTCCGGAGGAGGATCGGCGTCGTGTCACGTAACGTCTCGGCGCGATGCGATGATGCAAATCCGTTCGTTCGGCTGGTCGCTTCGCGGACACGAGCAGAAGCGCCTAGGAGATCCTGTGGGCGATGGTGGTGAGGCGGAGGTGCAGAGGGAAAAAAAAAAAAATGGTGACTTTCCAGGTGAAAGTCTACGACGAAGGGGGTGAAGTGGGGGCTTGAGACGTTACTGACCAACATGGGGAGTGGTGAACAACGCGCGAAGGGGGGGGGGACGGCGGAAGGTGAGGAACGTTCGTTGGGACGCAGTGTCGACCGAGGAGAGGGATAAGCGGTTACCACGCTATGTGACACGTGCGCGTGACGTCACGGGGCCGGTCACGCGAGCACCGTGTGCTCCCGGTCACGTGTCCTGTCACGCGCTCGCTTTACCCTCTCCGTTCCTCTGCACCCCCCTCCCATGCTCCTTTTCCACTGCCGTTGCTGGTGCTCTCCTCAACGACTGCATCCCACTCTACGAGAGACCGTCGACCGTCTCTCTCGCCACCTTTTATTCTACTCCGTTTCTCCTTGTTCGCTCTCGATCACGGCTATACGTGCCTGAAGCTAGCTCTTTCCTCCTCCCTGCCGGTCGGATAGAAACGAAGTACAAGTCCGCAAACTCGACGGGTATTCAGGCTCCGCTGTGATGCGAAAACACGCGGTAATGATAGTTCTCGTTCTCGCGCGATTCAACGACGTGTTTATACCTGCGCCCGTGACGTTGCGTACCTTCGCGAAATCTTTCACGCACACGCTACACACCCGGTTTCTACCGAACGTTGTCGAGTTCGTATTTAACCCCGGGACGGATTGAATTTTAATTATTCAGCGTCCGCAGCGTTACTTCGCGTGAATTTCAGCGCGAGCTTGCGTTACGAGAACTGGGTTATTGGAGCAGTTTTACCGGAAGAAATAACGCGCGAAACAAAAGCGGGAGAGGAGGGGAGATTGAGAATATTTTCTGCAAATTAACTTTTTATTGGGGGATAATCGTGTTTTTTCTTTCTTTCTTCTTGTCGAGATAGAGGATCAATTTACAGTACGGAGAATCGCGTGCTTATAGGCACGATTAGAACGATCAATATTTCATGAATCGATAGCCTGAGCGATTTAAGAACGTGCCAGTTTGCGATCAATTTGTAGTTGTGCACGATTCTTTTAAATAATACATACGATGGCTACGGTTGACAAAGAGGCAACCTTTAGGAATAAGGTCATTGCACACCACCCCGTTACGTTAAAACGAGACAGAGGCATAAAACCGAGGAAAGTACAAACGCGGTGTTCGATTTACTTGCACGATTAATCGATTCCCCTAGTCTCGATCAAAGCACTCCGTTCTAGACGACATACTTTGGCTAGCTTTTACCAGGTCACCTATGGAATCCAGATCTCGCTTCTGTTACACACGCGCGTTTTACAATCGAACACGTCGCGCAGGTGATCACGCTCATTGGTCGGTCGCGCGACTGCATTAAAACTAAAACGAAATTACGCCGGTACGCGTGGAAAGAATGCAGCTAACGATGCGTTTTCACCGACGCGATTTACGCATTACGAAACACTTTTATGATGTTAAACGTCCACAGACGGACTAGAAAGTATAAGTGTTTCTGATTATGTAAACGACCGCTTGCCTGTCGATGGACAAGTAATTCCAAGACGAACGATCCAGTTCTTAAATAGGGGATCTACACGTATGTATACATACGTATATAAAAAGTTGGGCACACGATGTTTTCGCTTTCGTGCAAATTCGTCGAAATAATAACTACGATTAAAACAGATGAATGTTATATTTTCGTGAAAGATACTGTGTATATAAAAAAAAGGTTTCACGTCCACGCGAAAACAATAAATTGTATCGTTACTTCAAAGACACCAGATTTGCAATCGTGGCCATATTTAACGACGAACAAGCTCGGCGTAACGAGAGACCGTTGCTTAATATACCCGATATACAATGTATTCAGCTTAAATGTTTCACGTTACCGAGAAAGTGAAC